TTTTCCTCCCTTTTTCACTATCCTTCTTTTCCCCTCTGTTCCGTTCGCACCGCTTCTATCTCTCTCTCTCTCTCTCTCTCTCTCTCTCTCTCTCTCTATCTCTATCTCTATCTCTCTTTCTCCCCCCCCCTCCATCTGTCACTCTATCCCTCTCATCTGTTTTATTTCTTTTTTGGGATTATCTTATTGGCCCGTTAGATCGATGTGAGAATGTTTCCTACGGCTTACAAGGTGAAATTATTGTATTATAAAACGTATTCCAGTGGAGCGATCGAAATTTTCATCATTCAATTTCAAACGGCCTAGTTTAATAAGATTATCGATAGATTACAGATTGAATTAGCTGGCGTTAAAGTTATCTAATACACAGCTAGCAATTGACACACACGCGCGCGCGCACACGCACATGTTTAATAGCTCTGTGTAAACTTTATAGAAAAGGCTTTATCACAAATTACAGATATTATTCATAATTCGAGCGACTTAGTGATTAATTGTTCATTAAGAGCGCAAGCGATTTCCATTAAAAGCACAGCGATTATTAAAGAAATTTTCTTTCGCTTGACTCGACCCATCAAAGCTTCTCACCGCTTCTCCTATACACCTGTTGGATTTATTTATCGAGATAACCTCAACCGGTGTACAATGCAAATAAACGATCCTTACGATTATAAATCACCTCCATCTCTAATGCAATGCAATGCAACGCAATAGATTTTAATCTTTCGTAAGCGACGAAAATGCCGATAGCTTTTTGTGTCAAATGGCGTCGCTACGCATGCGAAGAGCCCATCGCCGCAATTAGGAAACCTTGGATCGCTCGGTTACAACGTACATGCACCGTCACGACCACCACCACCACCACCACCACCAAGCCCACGAGGCCCGAAGCAAATATTTATTTATACCTAGGGTAATGCACTATCAAACTCGCATCCTCCTTTTGTCCTTCGTGGTTAACCGTGCGTAAGGCTCCTCCTCTGTGCTTTTCCGAAAATAAGAGAGAGGGAGAGAGAGAAAAAAAAGGGCACGTCTCCATCGTTCCCATTTACCCGAGCGGCGGCATCTCCTAGCCGACGTCGTCCAACTTGGCGCAAAATAATGGCGCGTCGCATTGTCACTTTAAAAGGGAGCGACGGCAGCGCCAGCCAATAAAGACAATGCGCCATGCATTGTTCGAATTCGAGGAGCGCCGTTTTAGTCATTCGGATACAAAAATATAAAGAGTAATGCAGAGCGTGTCGTGGATGAGGTGCGGGATGAGGTGCGGGATGAGGTGCGGGATGAGGAGGAGGAGGAGGAGCAGCAGCAGCAGCAGCAGCAGCAAAAACAGCAGTAGTGGAAGAAGGTGGAAAGGAGAATTCGCACGCAATGCTCTTCTTTATGCTGCTCCCCTTCTCAGTTGGGATGTTACTGCCGTTTCTCCTACCCGATTCCCTCCGACTCCTGCCCTGACATTTATTTTCTCTGGAGTTTCTCCATTCCCTCTCTCACCCCCCTCCCACCC